ATAAGGAATGAGCTACACTAGCCCAGTAAGGACATCACGATATCTCACCGTCACGGAGGTAAAGGTGGGTAGAAAACACAAAAAGACCAATGGAGCATAATTTACAACAAATCCTTTTATTAATAATAAAACCTTTACCATTCACTTACCTCGGTGAAATTCATAAAACAATATACGAAAACAATAACATCATCATCATCATGAAAACATATATATGAACTGTATAACATAATACCTATCAAACTTTTCGTAATTCAATCGTTACACAACATATTTTCCTAATTCACCAGCCCACTAGTATCCATGGGGATCCATAGGGGTCCCGCTACCCGTTAATCCTTAACACTTGAAATCCATTCCAGGGCCGTCCCCATACCCCGTCCGGTATGGGCGCCAAACCATAGACCTCATTACCCCGTCCGGTATAAGGGTGAAACGGGCCGTCCCCATACCCCGTCCGGTATGGGCGCCAAAACACATAAGATCTCCATACCCCGTCCGGTATGGGAGACCACAATCCCGGTAGGGTTCCCTACGGACCCAGTCCGTCCACCATCTCCCAGGATATCTAGTCAGGCTGAACACATTTATACAATTTCCATTTACATAATCTTTCATTCTCCTTTTCCCTCAGTCAGCATTATCAATCACATACAAACAAGCAAAACGATAATTTATGCCAAACAGACAACATACAGCATCAATATCCCGGTCATTCAATCCATAATCAATAAAACAGTAAAATATGCACACGAAACTATAAAATGAAAACATCGAACCTCATGCTGCATTTAAAACTGTAAAACAGACCAAATAACAGTTAACCGACAAACACACTAGACTCGGGCTCCATTAGCAACCTTAAGTAATTTCACACATTCGTTGATTCATGAAATACCGTTTTATCATTTATTAAACTTTAAAACCGTGATAGAAAATAGGGTGAGGGGTCCTTACTCATTTCGGGGTCCGAACACGGCTTCACAGTGCGCTTGCAGGCTGTCCCTAATTTTCCTTGAATTTTTCCCGGGGAACTGAAACGCACTACTGGTACCTGCACGTGTTCCAAAAAAATCATAAATTAGGCCTAGGACCCCTTTCGGCCAATATCGCAACTCCGGCACGGCTGCTCCGCCGTGCTCCGGCGGTGGTTTGCCTCGGGTTGGCCGCTTTCGGCCGTTTCCGATCGAATTCGGCCACACTCGCATTGGTTCCTGCGATAAAACAACCCTACGGCCCTTGGGGGGCCGAAAATTTACGGAAAACCGAAGCTTACCGGCGGCGGTACTCTCGGGTGTGGCGGCTCTCCGATGAAGTTCGTGTTTTGGTGATTCGGCTCCGATCAACCTGTAGAGAAAAGAATGGTGATCACGGTGATATAAAAATTGCATTAAACGGAGGCCGGGAAGGGCCTCATTGGAGGCAAAAACCGAGAAGGGGCGCGGCGGCGCCGCTGGCTTTCGGTCGTTGGGCCGGGATTTTGGCTCCGATTTGGCCACTGGAGAAATCAGCGTGGAAAAACGAGTCGGGGGTATGAAATTTACCTCGATCGGCGATCGGAAATCCCTCCGGTGCGGCGGCGGGTGGCGGCGGCCGGCTTCTGGTTCGTCTTCTCCAGCGAGGGCAGGCGGCTAGGGTTTGGGGTCTGGTGTGGGGGTCTTATTTATACCCTTTTGCCTTTTGATCTCAGCCGTCCATTTTGATTTGATCTGGGCCGTTCGATCGCGCGCACGCGGATCGCCAACGTGGCCCGTCCCCGGTCGTCGTGGTTTTGCCACGTGGCAGGTTCTGGTTGGCCAGGCCTGCTGACGTGGCTGTTGACGTGACACACACATTTTTTTTCCTTCAATTTCTTCAATTTCCCCGGGCGCTACATCTAATGCAAATCTTCTTCGTATAATCGTTTTAAATACGGTCACGTACTAAAAAAAAAAAAAGAAAAATGAGAAGAAGATTGAAAACTCTAGTACCATATTTTGAACGTGAATAAAATAATACCGATAAATTTTGCTACAGAAAGGTATAACAGAAGAAACTCTATACGGGTTTCTTTTAACGATTGTCTTATTTCTCGACACATACGACTTAATATGGTAGAGTTGAAATTATACCCCTTAACAAATTTGACACGGTACAAAAAATAAAATAAATTTACGAACTCTGTGTAAGGTTCGGGGTGGGTTCAAGTTCGTACTTGATAAGATACGATCGTGTTCGGATGTAGTCAAATTCAAGTCTTACGCGGAAAATTGATTGAGAAAAATTTAATTAATGATAACGGGTTAAATACATGAAAATCACAAGGGGCTTGAACTTAGAGTCAGCCCGGCCCGGCCCATTCATTTAATCTCTCTTTGGATTTATTAATTAAAACTACGAACTCTCGTTGGCAGAATCAAACTAGTTTAAAAGGCAGTAAGCTGGTCCCTGTCAACATCAATAATAAACGTAACAGTCTTAAAACCCTTCCAACTGCCTCTCTTTTTCACTCTCTTCGTGCTCTCCGCCACTCCGGTTCTTCATCTACCTCTTCTTTATTCTCGCTCCGATCTCTCTCGCCCTGTCTTTTTTTTTTCTATTCGGTTATCGAGAAATGGCGTCCGTTGCTGGTTCATCGGTCTTCATGCAGGCTCGTCCTCGTCAGGTATCCATCGGATTGGTACTCGCTCTTCTTGTTAGAGGAGAATCTGATCTGTTAATGATCGGTGTTGATCTAATTTGACTTTCGCTTGTTATGGTTTTCTGTTTAGCATTTTAGAAAATCTGAGTATTGATATTTTCCGGTGGAGGTTTTGACAAGGATTGGTTTGATCTGGTGAAATTTTGATCTGCTTTGTCTTGCATGTGATCACTTTCTAGTTTTCTGATGTTTAATCGAGAAAATCTCGTCAGTACGTTGTGTTTCATTTTTTTTTCCTCTTCTTGAGAGGGAGAAGAAGCATATAATTGATATTTTTGTTTCTTCAGCGCTAATTCTTGCTGCTGTTTGTTTAATCTCTGCATTTCGCGTAGGAATTTCTGGATTTAAGAAACTAATTTCAATTATGTATTTTTTAAATTTGTAATGGTTGCTGGTGATTAGTTGTCCTTTTCTTTTTCAGTAAGGAAAAGAATAGAGAATTTATCAAACAGGATTAATTTATTACTGTGTATGAGAATGTTTATGTTGATCAATTATCGTGGTATAATGTAAGAAATTCGAAGCTGCTGTGGAATATTTTGATGCATTTTGTTGAAAGAATGTCTTTTCCTCATAGAGTTTATCTGGTAAACTGATGGCCAAGATATTTTCTCTTCTGTGATGCTTTTAGTAGTTGCAGAAATAATCAGGAGTAACCCTTTGTATAGGGAGGTACATTAAATGTGATAGCTTAAAGCATCATTTCTACTATTATACAGGCTCTGTGGATGTGGTTGTTAGGGTGATTATGTAGTTTTGGTATAGATGGTTCATAAGCATTCTGCGTTTTGGTTTTCTTGTTCTGGATGGTGCATCTTGGGGCTCTTATATTTAGCAATTCCTTCTTGTCCCGTATGAAAAAAGATTACCAGTTTAATTATTCTTTATTAATTGATTCTGTGGTCGAACATCATGAACAGGCAGCAACAAGGTTTTCCAGTCTGAAGTCTATTTCTGTTTCTAACCTGGGAAGGAGCAGTCTCTCGTTTAGGTTACGCCCAGTGCGTGCTGGCTTGCGAATTTCCGCTGTTGTATGTTTCTCACTATCGTTCTTGATTTCTTTCCTTGGTTTTTGTGCACATTTAATTGATCTTTCATGGTACCTTTTTCTGGAAACGATATTAGAAAGTCCTTCAGTGGATTTATTTTGATAAAGTTCTCTTCTATGCATAAGTTGATTTTACAAAAACACGATAAGATTAAATTGCTCAGATTAACGAGGGAGAGACACTTCTGTAAGTTACTTGGATGCATGTTTACCCACCTAAGCAGTGCAGGGCAATGTTTCTTTTGAACAAAGTTAGTTTCTTGCAAACAAAACAAAGTCGATTTATGGGCAAAATGTAATCCTGCAGGCCAAGCAGGAGACATTGAATAAGGTGTGTGCAATAGTAAAGAAGCAGCTAGCACTAGCACCTGATGCTTCAGTTACTGGTGAAACATCGTTTGCTGACCTTGGAGCCGATTCTCTTGACACGGTACCAGCCTAAATATATATATATATATATATATATATATATGGTTTCTGGAATTCTCTTCTTTCTCCATAAAGAGTTTTGAAAATCAAGAAGAATCTTGCCTTCACATGTTTTACTTTCTTCTTATTCCGAGGCCACTGCTCTTAGATTGTCGTCTCCTAACTCGTTGACATGGCTTGCCATTCAGGTTGAGATTGTGATGGGGCTTGAGGAAGAATTCGGTCTAAGCGTGGAGGAGGAGAGTGCCCAGACCATCGCCACTGTTCAGGATGCAGCAAATCTCATTCAGGAACTTCTCGAGAAAAAGGCTGCTTAAAAGAAACAAACAGTTGAGTAGAGTTAAACGATTGTTATGATGTGCTGACCGGGTAATATATCACTTGTTTGTTAGATGCAGTCGGAGGGCTTCTTTGGTAATATGTTTTAAGTCCATTGTTAGTTTGATTTAATTTGAGTTTTGGTGAACTTTGTTAGTTTGGTTTGAGCATCGGATAAACCCTTCCCTTTTTCAAGTTTTGCTTTTGATAAGTTTTAACAGTTGCGAAGGTTGCAGTTTTAGCCTTCTCCTTCCCATGGTTGGTATCTCTAATTTGTGTCATGTATTCATATTTCTTAAAGCTGTTTTTCAAATTGGTTAACTTTTGTTTAAAAAAATGAGACTCATTTTATATTTATAGTTTAATATTTAATTTATTAATATATTAATAAAACTGTATTAATAAAATAAAATTTAATATTATTTATTTTTTTAAAAAAACTTTTAAATATATTTTAAATAATTTTTACAATGAATAATTCTTAAAATTTAACAGAACAAGTAAGTTATATAAGTAACTTAATAAATTAACCAACCAATCAATTTACACAAACCTGAAACTATATGCATTTGGTTATTAGAATGTAGGCTTTAAGTTTATTTGATTTTTATCACTGGGCATCACAAGACAGTTTGGTATCCTACAACACAAAGGAAATTCTATGCCATTAGCATGGAAAAAAAACAAGTACATACATAGAGAAATCTTTCCTCTAAGGCGGCCATAGTTACTTCTATTTACAGAGTGGAATGACCTGAATAATCTCATGATTCGGACATCATCAGTTATATCACTCCCAATCGGAATCAAAGAAACCAGCATCCTTCATTTCCGAGTAGTACACATGCTCCAAATGCAGATCTTCTTCCTGTAATCATTCCAAACACAGGTCATATATTGGTTCAGAACCTGTACGGTGATACAAAAGTCCGTTGTAAACATCATCTAATTCAAAACCCATTTGGCGAATTTAGATCGTGTTTTCGTTTTCGACAAATGATACGCGTCGTGGTGTATAAAAAATATAAATTTTGAAAACAAAAACTTAAAACAGTTTGCTACAACTAAAGAGGACCTAAAAACTCCACCAAATGATTTTACCTGGAAGAAGTCTGCCAAAAATGTTATATACAGAAGCGGGAGGTAGAAAGCATGGTAGCAAACAATTGTGGCACCGTACAACCTGCAAATCAATTGTCTCCTCAGACCAGATGAGGGAAATGGGAATTTGATGCTGACAATATTGTACACGAGTTGTGAATAAAGTTCTTTGCGAAGATCGGGATTTACCAGAAGCCAAATGCTGTCCCATTTCCAGTGAGCGCACAAGCAAGTAGAGACAGTGCATTCAAGATGAACATAATTGCGACGTACTTGTAGAATGCAGGTCTTGCTGTTGAAAAGGAAAGATGACACGGGGTTAAAACTTACAAGCACAAAACTACATGTCGATATAAGACCAATCCGAGTAAAGATATGGATGTCCAGTATCAGCTTACCGGGTAACCTTTCTCTCCACTTGGAGTTGTACATGAACAGTATCGTGCCATAAATAGCAGTAAGTACTAGTCTATGGATGACCCACAAGCCCCACTTCACTCGATGTGAATGTTCAGTGTTATCAATGAACAAAGGAACCCCAAACCCAAGTAGGTAAATCACCTGAAATATAGAGGACATTGAAAGAGATATTCATTCTATAGTTTCATCGACATCAAAAAATAAATTAATAAAAAGTAATGGGCAAATTTCAGAAGGGGAACGAAAAAGAATTTACATCTCATGTACATACAAAATACTTGCATTGCTATGTCCTCTCTCTCTCTCTCTCTCTCTCTTATTTGACATTACTCTCTTTCTAGATGAGAGCAAGACCTATAATAGTGCATTCCACTTGAGTTTCATAGTTACTCATGGCATAGAAAATTAATATTCTATGTTCAATCAGTTTAGTATGGCACATAAAAAAGAAAACTTCATGATACTAAATTGTCGTGATATTACTCTGATATTGGTATTGACACAATGAGGTATAGAAAAGAGTAGCAGGCTATATGGATGGTTCCCAGGAAAGAAATGGAATACCTTTAGAAGTAAATCCAGTCCAACAATCATTCCTGATATGACAAAAGTCCGTGTTAGAGATTCGAGCCCACTGGCGTAGTTTCCTTGGAATAAGAAAGCCACCAAACTAACTTCCAGGAACAACATTCCAGAAGTTGTAAACAAAGACAGGGCATTCCATGCTGCTTCCTTGCCGGGACTGCACTCCCATGCCTGCATCAACAGAGGAAATTAGAACTTGGTGCTCAGCGCACAATCTGAACAGAGATAATGTGAAATTTAAAAGCAAGATTAAAACTGGTAATAAGAGATTTCAAAGAAAAGAAAAAAATTTCATAAAATTGATGAAAAGTTGTTAAGAGTAGACACTTTAGTAGCTTAACTTAATCCTAAATAAAATCGAGGTGATTCCAGCTTGCCTTCGGCCTGTCAAGTCAATGTTACTTAAAATAGAACATAACAAGCTAGTTTCCTTTCAAAGATAAGCCAGCCAAATTATTTACTTCATCTACATACATCTCTACAAAACCTTTGCCAATTTTCCCTTAGAGAAACTAGCTTAAGATTAAAAAAAAAAAAAAAAAAAAGACAAAGCTTGGGAAAACAAAGTGAGAACAAACACAAGATAGACTTCCAAGCATTAAGTTGTAATCCATTCCACAAGATTGAAGGATTCCCAGTAATCATTACTTGAATATCTCTCTCCCAGAAACAGATGATACATAAATAAATGTAATTCAACGTGGCATAACATCAAACAGATATTTTACTTCTATAATCCAAGTAAAAAAAACTACCGAGCATGGAACAAGAGAGCAAATAGCAAGCCAGAGACCCCAAGGATAGGCTATTATAGCATACTTCCAAAGGTAATTATTCAGTTCAACAGACATCAAATATTAATGGAGGAAACCATTGTTCAAAGAATAAACTAAAGACCCAAAAACCCCATGGGAGAAAGAAATAAGATTTAAAAAGATAATAACAAGCTAAAGATTCCCATTTACCATCATTTCATAGTTTCCCTTATTTATCAGATAAATAAACCTATTCACCCATTTCAATAATTCAAAACTCTCCCATAAACTGAAGGCAAAAAACTATGCATTAATCCAATAAACAGAAACCAAAAAAGAAATTTTGCTGTTCATGAACTAAATTGAAAAACCCACACACCTGCAAACAACACCAACCAAGATTGAGCAAACTAACGAGCCA